GTCTCTGTCATCCGTGGTGCATCATCTTTTCTTCTCTGACCGAATCTTGTTTATTCTAGCTGTGTTTTCTTCTTCTTAGGGGGAACATTTATCTGTGTTGTTGCTGATCCGCAGATTATTCAAGTTACACTGGCTTCGTCGGCTTGTATCCCAGTTGCAGTATTTATCTCCGTTGTTGCCTAGTCCGCGGATTATTCAAGTTACTCTAGCTTCGCCGACTTGTATCCTAGTTACAGCAATGTCTTTCTCAGCCCTTTTGGCTGATGTCTTTCCCAATTGTTGCCTGGTCCGCAGATTTTTTTCAATTAAAGTGGCTTCGTCGGCTTGTATCCCAATTGCAGCAATGCCTTTCCCAGCCTTTTAGGCTGATGTCTTTTTCAGCTCTTCAGACTGATGTTCATTCCAGTTGATTTGCTGTCGATTTCTCAGACTTATATTCCGAGAAGCTTCGTTTTAGTTTTCTTTCTTCCCAAGATGAAGTGTCCCTCCATTGCAAGAATCAGACCGGTTGATGAGCCGATTTTCGGGCCAGCCGGCCGGTCGGTCCGGTTTTAACATCATTGATTCAAACATTCCACTATCCTTTTGGTCTCGAGGGCTAATATTTCGGATATGCATCTTTTCATGTTAAAAAAAAACATGACATAGTTATGTGGGGCCTAATATTTCGGATATGCATATTTTCATGTTAAAAAAAGATGAATCAATGATAATAAAGGAAAAGAAAGAAAAATATATTAAAATAGGTAGTTACAAAATCATAACTATTGATTCACCTTTATATGATTATGATCTTCTCAAATGACTATGTCATTTTTTTTTATTTCCTTTCATGTGAGAGGATCCATTTCCTAATATTTCTCTTTGATCCCATGAATGTTGCATCTCCGGTCTTCATGTTCTTTAGAAAGATTTCACTCTTGCCTTGTTTTTCTCTTCAATCCTTTGCCAAGCACACTATTAGGCTTTATCCTTATCTTCAGGCTTCCCGGATAGCTATTTTATCTTCTGCCTACATGGATGTCTCCTGTAACAACTCTGCCTAACATTCCCTAATTCACTTTATATGCATCCTAACGATGCCAAAAGAGGAAGATGATGATGCCTTATTATTGTATTAACGTTTCCTAGTGTTTGCTGAATATGCCAAAATTGTCAATATTTAATTGCTAATGGAATGTTTTCTATTTGAGTCAGGTTCAATTAGTCAAATTGATCACATGTCTAGACTATTATGAGAAATAATTTTGCTGCAGAACTGCATGCACACATAGGTTGCTTTTACCCACTTGGTTTCTGGTTTGATGAAAAAGATGCTTCCGCACTAAATATTGAAAATTTTCAAATCTATCACTATTCAATGGTTTAGTAAAAATATCTGCATTTCGAAGTTCAGTTGAACAAAAATTTAGCTTGATCAATCTTTTTCAGTGCAATCCTTCAAAATATAGTGTCTAACGTGAATATGTTTAGTCCTAAAATGCAAAACAGGTCTTTAGAGATGCTTATGGTATTAGAATTATCACAATAAATAGGCTTGCATCCAAAATCAATTAATTGATGTTTTTCCTATAATAATTAGGGAAATATAGCTCTTATATAATAGGAGAAGTTTTCTTTTCTTACAACAAATTAATACTATGTAGTGTATAATTATAAATTTAAAAGCTTTTTTTTTTCTCCTCAAAAATTGTCAGCTGATGTGGAAGAAAGAAAAAAATTAACTTTAATATTATAATTATGTATTACTTATAATACATAGTACTAATTTAAAAAAAATTCACTCTCCGTTAAACTCGACCAGCGAGTGTGGAGTGGAGATAATTCTTATACGCAACTTTACTCTTGCATAATTATAAAAGACTATTTTTAGGATTTGAACCCATATTATAATACATAGTTTTAATTCATTGCAAAAAATATTTCTTCTCCTATAACGTAAAAGTTGGGGACCCTAATAATTATGCACATATTCAGCTTCAGTAATAGAAAATACAATAGAATTATGCTTTTTGTACTCCCAAATCCCTCAACAGGGACCAAGAAATTGCACACAAGTTTCCCATACATGATGGGTCTCTTTTTTCAAAGCTTATCCAATAAACTAAGAGAAATAAGTTACATAAATTTTTTTATCTCATGTCACAGATACATCGCAATCTGAGCCAACATTTTTTTTTTCTTTTCTTTTAATCGTGGGACCCACTCAATTATATCTCTACATGAGATAATACTATCTCATGTAGCATGAGAAAAGCCTTGCCCATAAACTAAACTGTACAGATTGCCGCTTTTGGAACTGGGACAATTGAATTATTATTAGAAGAAACCAAACCAGTATCATTCCAATCAATTACTTCTTCTGGCAGCCACAGATTACTAGGTGGGGACCTAGTTTTCCACGAAAAGAAAGGTAAATATGTGCTGTGCAGCACTGCTCTAGAGTGGCTACTACACTGACTGAGGGCCAAACATTATTTGCAGAACTGTAACATTGACTTCTGTGATGCATGATAATTGATGGATAACCTTAGGTGAGAATGCTATTGCTCCTACGTGTCACTATTATATAATTTTGCTAAAAAAATGCCTTCTTTATTATTAATAAAATCTTATCAGAAACATAAATAGTAGACAATTTTGGAGAAGAATTTCAATTGTTCCGGACCACTATTTATTCAGTAATTCAGATCAATCAAAATCATACAAGTAATGAGAAGAGAAGAGAGAAAAGAAATAAGAAATAACTTTTTGTCTAAATGTCAGCTCTTGAATGAAAGGATCACATGAGATCTGGAGCAAAAAAAATTCTACAATTTTGATATTACAGAAATCATTGATTTATTGACTTTTATAATGTAGAAGATCTAAAATTATCATCGATCAAAAACATAAACAGTAGACAATTTTGATATTACAGAAATCATTGATTATGGTAGACGAAGTAATGAGGTAAAAATTAGATATATAAAAGCATTAAGAGACTAGGACCTGTTTAGTGTGACGTATAAGGTCTGATAGTATAAGTTTATATTATACATTATGACATTTTCAGTTGTTTGATGTGATCACTGTATAGTATAAGCTTATACAGCAGAATCCCTTAATATATCAAAATGATGTATAAGTTAATCCGGCCTAAGGGGGAGGGATTAAGCCTGATAAGAAATTAGTGTATTAACATCGTTGACCAGTGCAATTCTCAAAAATTAATATATTATTTTAATATTAATATATTAAAATAAAAATTAATTTTTCAATATATTCAATTTCAAAATATTGAATATTTTTATTTTTATAAACATTTATTTATTTTTTGGACACACTGATCAATTGATTTTTATAAACATTAATATCATACGACATTTTTTGAAGAATTATATAAATTATTTATTAGAAGATATTTTTATTAAAAGATATTTTTATTAAAAGTATTTATTTTTATCTTATATAGTATTATACAGTGCATTTAGAGGTGGCAAAGTGGGCGGCCCGCCCCACCTCCGCCATCAATCCGCCAAAAAATGAGCCTGCCCCGCCCCGTTTGGCGGGTTGGGCGGGTTGATCCGTCGAGCTGAGCCCGTTTTGCTGGCTCTAAGTGCATTATCAAATACTAGATGATATTATCTTATTCAATATGTTATTTTATACAATATCATGCCAAACGCTAAATAGTATTAAAATTCAATTAGGTCTTGTACAATCAGGCCTTATACTATCAGGTCTTATACTATAAGGTCTTATCCTATACTATGCACCAAACATGCCCTAATAGTTTAAGCTTTTGGGTTGAATTAATTCTTTCTATAGTATTAGAGCTTCAGTGATCATAAGGTCACAAGTTAGATCCTCACAGCCCCCGACTTTTCAGTGAAATTAAATAAACACAAGGTAAATAAAAAATTAAGCTTGTGTAATATCCACGCTTCAAATTCAAGGGCTCTTGCACAAGAGGGTGTGTTAAAGAATAATATAAACCAGTAAAAGCCCCTCATCCAACAACGTAAGCTTTTGGATTGAATTGATTTTTTATATGGTGCTAGAGTCTTGGTGTCACGAGTTCAATCCTCACTGCCCCCACTTTCTTTTGTAGAATATCTTATCACAGGTAGGTGGGCCTGTGTATTGTCCACCACCCTTTAAGCTCAGTGGGCTCTCGTATGCGGGGGGCATATTAAGATATATAACACCATTAAAGATATCTTCACTTAATCGCTTAAGCTTTTGGGAGCCTTAATGTCACAAGTTTGATCCTCATCGCTCCCACTTTCTTTTGTAGAATTTCTCATCACATGTAGGTGGGCCCGTGCATTGTCCACCACCCTTTAAGCCCAGTGGGCTCTTGTGTGAGAGAGTGTGTTAGAGATATAAAAAACCATTAAAGATACATTCACTTAACAACTTAAGCTTTTAGGAATCCGGTGTTACGGGTTCAATTCTTACCGCCCCCACTTTCTTTTGTGAAATTTCTTAGCACAGGTAAGCATACATGTGCATTATTCATCTTTTAAATTCAATGAGCTCTCGTACGAACAACATATTAGAGATATATAAAATCATTAAAGAGATTTTCAGTTAACACCTTATACTTTTGGGTTAAATTAATTTTTAAATATCAAATGCATCTTTTGAGAGTTTTTTATTTTATTAAAAAAAAAACTCTCAAAAGATGCATTTGATATTTTAAAAACTAATTTAACCAAAAAATATAAGGTGTTAAGAAAAAATTAACACAGACATTTTCCTTTTGCACTAGTTGCGTGTTGACAACGAAGTCTCTGCTGTCTTGGTCCACCGTGACATCAACGATCACTACTTCATTTTCTTTGAAAAGTTAGTCTAAGATAAATAAATAAATAAATAAGAAACTTACTAAAAAAAACCTTATGATAAAAAAACAATTGTTGTTAAACCAAAAAACCATTCTATTATAGTCTATATATAGATAAGCTATCGTTTTTCAATTTCCTCCTTTTATTCTTCATCCGCTCTTCCAATTTTCTAACACAAAATTGAGACTCATAAGAATATGAAGCAACTCAAGCTCTTAGCCTTACATTATTCATGTCATGGTCATGGTGGAGCTTTCATGGTGCAGTAGCAGACCCTCAAACTCGTTTACTCAACAAGGGTTGTAGCCAATACAACGCAACCAACTTGTCAAACTTCTACCAAAATCTGAACTCAACTTTGGAAGATTTGAGAACAAAGGTGAACAACCAAAGCAAGCACTTTGCCACAGCACAAGCAGCCAAGGGAGCAGACCCTGTCTATGCTATGTTTCAGTGCAGAAACTACCTCTCCAACACTGACTGCTCCGCCTGCTTCGCCACCGCCTCCGCCCAAATCCGCAACTGCTCCGCCGGTGCCAACGGTGCTCGTGTCATTTATGATGGTTGCTTTCTTAGGTACTATTCCACCTATTATTTGTTTCATTGTTTATTTCATATGCTTCATAAATAATATCATTCATTGTATTTGTTCTATTGTCTTCTTGAACATTTGAGTGTGACAGTATTGTTGTTAGTTGTGTCTGAATAGGTTCAAGAAATCGATTTTTAATTTTATAATATAATTTTTTGAAAAGTTATTTTTAAATTTTGTTTTTTTTGAAAAAACTAAAATTGCTTATTTCTTGTTTGTTTTCAAAAGTTATTTAGTTATCACAATTTTTTTTTAAAGTTTTTTGTTTCTGGAATCTATTAATCTCATGTTGCATGCGATAATTATCTCATGCAACAGAAATAAGATTGTGGTGTCCACTATTTTGTCTCTGATTATATGAGATAATGCAAAATTATTTCCTTTGTTTTTTTGCGGAACATGTTATGGAGATTTGATGAGATCAAAGTAAGATTCGTTTAACGGTTTTCGTGTCTAATGAATGGCTTGAAGTTGCATCATTTGGAGTTATATATTTTTATTCATCAATATTATATAGCTGTCAAGCTCTGTGGCTGCATATGCATATTATTTTTATTTTTCTCTTTATGCCGCCTCGTGGGTATAATTGTGTATGTGGGCATGCGAGTTGATATATATATATATATATATATATATATATATATGGCACAATGATTTCTACAGCTGCTGTACCTACAGCAAGTAAGATCCGCGTCCAAATCCTAGGATACGGCAACGGATCCTGAGTTTTTTTTTTTAAAAAGTCGTGGGGCCCACTTTTCTGTGTCAGCTGTAAATAACACTATCTACTGCTGCTGCAGAAATGTTAAGCCCTATATATATATATATATATATATATATATATATATTAAGATTTTATTAATATCACGTTAATAGAGATAAGTTATCTCATGTCATAGAAATAAGTTAGTGGGATCCACCATCTGAAAAAAAAAAAGATGACACAATTATCGAAAGATGTGTAGGAGAAAAAACTTATCTTATGTAACATGAGAATAGTTTTTCCCATATGTTAATGTGCTTTAAAGAATATTAAAATGCTTAAAGAAATCAAGGGTGGCTCCATTGACATTATGCGCCCCCAAAGAATTCTAGATAAAATCTTTGGAGTAGAGCTATATAATTATTATGTGGTTTCATTTCAGATTAGTTTTATATATCTGTGGATTTCTTTCTTCGGGAACCTGAATTGACCCAAAAGAAGTATAATAAAAATTAACATAACAGGATATGCATGATCATATAACTATCGTCTTATAAGACATTTTTTGTTTATAATTTAATGAAAAGGATGACCCCATTTTTAAAACTAAATCATGAAAATAAAACATGTATAAAGAGAAGTAAACTTGATTTGCTAAGATGTTATTAGTTGAACAATATAGAGTATATACATATATTGAACTAGTATGGTGTATGCCACAATGATTTTCTATACACTCTATATGACTTCTATTCGACCGAAAAATCGGTCTTATGCAATTCACTATCTAGGCGTATTCTTTTTAAGACGTGATTTGTAATCTAGATTACTAATGTAATTGTTCTAGTTACATTGCCAAACAACTCTTGGCAGAAGTTTCCAACACAGATTGTTTACTCTGGAAGGACTTTGGGATTTATATTCTTGATGTTGATCAATTTGTTTTATCCCTCTATGTGTGTATATATTATTCAATTTTATTGTCTAAACAAGTTAAGGTTACATCATTACATATTGAAAATGTGGATTAGTTTTGCATAGACTGTCAAATTATGTTTTCATCTCAAGATCATTGGTTGGCAATTCATGAACTTAAGTCAGAATTGACATTGATGTTCGATACTTTTAAATGTGTTTTGAGGTATGAGAGCAATGGCTTCTTTGACCAGACCACTATGCCTGGCAATAGTATGATTTGTGGAAATCAGACTGCAGTTGGAGCCAATGCTTTTGATGCAGCTGCACAACAAGCACTAATGGATCTGCAAATAGCAACACCCAAAATTACTGGTTTCTTTGCAGCTACCAAGACACAAGTTGCTGGTGGTGCCATCTATGCCATTGCACAATGTGCTGAAAATGTCACACAGAGTGGTTGTCTTGATTGCTTAACAGTTGGATACAACAACATACAAAGTTGTTTTCCCAATACAGATGGTAGAGCATTTGATGCTGGGTGTTTTATGAGATATTCTGAGACATCCTTCTTTGCTGATAACCAGACAATTGATATCACACCCTTCTTAAAAGGTAGAATGAGAATAGTTCCTTTGGTTACATTGGTTTTGGATGAATGATGATATATTTTGGTAAAAATGGTCAAGTGGCTGCTTGCACTATGCACAGCAACATTTAGAATAGTATATATGATTTGGAACTGGGATTAACTGCTTTCCTATCTCACAGGAAGTTCAAGCAAGAAAGGGGCCATTATTGGTGGTGTTGTTGGAGGTGTAGGTCTTATTGTGATCCTCCTTGCACTATTTGTCTGGCTTAGAGGGTACAAGAAACCCAAGAGGGTTCCTAGAGGTGAGACAATTTGGAAAGTCTTTGAATTGATTATTTCTTACAAAAGTTCAATAGCAAATCAGTTCATGCTTGAAGCTACCATTTGCAAGAGAGACTTCTTCTAATACATGTTCACAAGACTTTTTAAACCCTTGGTTTACATTTTTAATCCATTTTCACATCACAATCCTAACCCGCTTATTCTTTACCAATGAATCAATTACTATGGAATGCATAATCTCTTTCTCTTTCTCGAGAGATTCATAACTATGTTTTTCTTATCAGGTGACATATTGGGAGCAACTGAGTTGAGAGGTCCAGTTAACTACAGGTATAAAGATTTGAAGTCTGCAACAAAAAATTTCAGTGATGAAAATAAACTAGGAGAAGGAGGTTTTGGAGATGTTTACAAGGTAAACTTGGTTATTTTTCTAACATTTTAGTGGAGTGCATGTTCAAAACAAGCATGGTTCTGAGTGAGTGTGAGTTTATATTAAGTGCAGGTTAAATTTATTATAAGCTATTCCTCTATAGATATAAATTACTTTCATAATTTAAAAAAAATTCTCAATCCTCAATTTATGGAACAGGGTACTCTGAAAAATGGTAAAGTAGTTGCAGTCAAGAAATTAATTTTAGGCAAATCCAGCAAGTTGGATGAACATTTTGAAAGTGAAGTCAAGCTTATAAGCAATGTTCATCATAGGAATCTAGTTCGACTTCTTGGATGTTGCAGTAAAGGCCAAGAGAGAATCCTTGTTTATGAATACATGGCAAACAACAGCTTGGACAGATTCTTATTTGGTAAAACTCATGTCAATCTCCTATTAAAGCATTTTTGTGAATCTCTATTACATATGTTTTCCTCTTCTTTTTGCCCCCTCTTTTGCTCACTCTATTAGGTATTTAAATTTTCAAAACAGGTGAAAAGAAGGGTTCTCTCAACTGGAAACAAAGGTACGATATAATTTTAGGCACAGCAAGGGGTCTGGCCTATCTACATGAGGATTTCCACGTTTGCATCATACATAGAGATATAAAGACTAACAATATCCTCTTGGATGAGGATCTTCAGCCTAGAATTGCTGATTTTGGGTTGGCAAGGCTTCTACCAGAGGACCAATCTCATCTTAGCACAAAATTTGCTGGAACATTGTAAGTCCAAACATTTACTTCTATTAGAGAGGTAGATGTAATAAAAGAGACAACTATTTTTAATTTTCTTTTTGATGTTCCACCCCCATGCTATATAGAAACGTTCTTTTATCAATTATGCTATAAACATTGTGCCCTTTTTAGGGGATACACAGCACCTGAGTATGCAATCCATGGTCAGTTATCAGTGAAAGCCGATACCTACAGCTTTGGTGTTGTAGTCTTAGAAATCATAAGTGGCCAAAAGAGCAGTGAATTGAGGGCAGATGATGATGGTGAATTCCTTCTTCAAAAGGTAAGCAATTTGACAGAACCACATAACAACAAGAGTAGCACTTTTCTTTTAACATTTCACTATATGAACTTTGATTTTTACTTTAACAGGCATGGAAATTGTACGAGGGAGATATGCACTTGGAGTTGGTTGACAAGACATTGGACCCTCATGAATATGATGCAGAAGAAATGAAGAAAGTTATAGAGATTGCTTTGCTGTGTACTCAAGCATCACCTGCTGCAAGACCAACAATGTCTGAAGTAGTAGTTTTACTCAAAAGTAAGAACTTGCTGGAGCAAATGAAGCCAACTATGCCTGTCTTTGTTGAAACAAACTATAGGTCCAGGGCAGACAACTCTACCTCAACTGGTTCCTCTACATCTAAAGCTACTGCTTCCACTTCTGTACTATCAGCTCGATGAATATATTAAGTAGAAGCATGGATGTCCAGTTAAGGGATTTGAAGCTTAAAACTGAAGAGAGAAATAAAGAAAAAAAACAAGTACAGGATTTACTTCAATTTTTTTTTTTTAAAAAAAAAAATTGTATATTAATACTTCAAATACGAAGTATATTGTGAAATAGTGATTACTATGATATTTAATTCGTTGAATAGAATCAATGGTTTTGTTGATAATGAAGCAGTTTATTAATGAAGAGGGGATTGACCAGGAGTGGTCTACCTCTAAAATGAGTTCTTATTTTGCCTGTTCTGTTAGTCCTATTCTTCTACATGGGATGTTATCTCTCAAGTAATATAGAATGTTGTAAATAATTGTATTTGTTTTCTTGTAGAATTTGTTTCCTTTTTTTTTAGGATTTCTTTCCTTTTAGTTTTTTGGATTTATTCCTTTAAGCTCGTTAGGCTTCTATATATTGTATCCTCTTGTTTGTATTATACACAATTTAATATAATATTATCCTTCCTTTTTTCAACTTGGTATCAGAGCTCTAGATTTTGAAGGCTCTGCTTCCACAACTGCCACCTTTAGAGCGGAACTCTATTTGTTTTCCTCTTGCCGCCACTGGAAAATTTTTCCAGGAACCTTTTAGACCGAGAAGACCACCGATTAACTCATTTTTCCCAAATCTATCAATCTACGGACGCTTTCCAGTCACAAAATGACCCCAACAGCCCCAAAATATTGTTCTCGCTACTGTTCATCTCCGGAAAACACTGTTCCAATGAGCTTTTGAACTCCGACCAGCCACAGACAAGATCGCAACCTTAGGGCGACCCCGCAGTGCAAAGTCCATCGCCACCAGAATCCTCACGCGCGACCTTGATTCTCTGCGCATGGGACACACGTGCCACCTCTTTCCCGCTGCGTGACTGCGCGTGACGCCGCCTTTTTGCCTCAGACCACCATGGTTCTGATCGTCTTGCCTTCCCGGTTCCAGATTGTAACGCCCCGTCTGCAGCTGGTTAATTAACATTCATATGATAGTAAGCGCAACAAACTCAACTTAATTAATGCGGAAGCTAACTAAATAAATTTTCTCTTTTTCTTTATGTATTGTAACTTTTTCACTTCCACGACCAAAGTAAAATGGACAGCATTTTGTCAGTATTTTGGACCACTAGGGATAATTCTCACTATGAGAATTTCAACTTGATTGATAGTTTAATATAATCCAGGCATTCTACAACATAAATAAAACATATTGCCCAACCATCCATGGCCTAGGCTATCTCATAATCATACTGTCTCAAAATAATGTCCATGATGTTACTTATATAATTACATCAAATAAACAAAAGAGATGCAATTAAATAAGTAACATAGACTTGAGCATGCATCAATAACAACATATACAGACTATCGACATGGCATAGACACTGTCTATGCTCTCTAAAAAATAACATGGTATATATACATATCCAAAATAAAACCATGCCAAATACATATCAGCATTACAAGCTAATCCTGACTATCAGGTCATGTAATATCTCTCGTCTGGCCTCTTACCACACGATGGCTCAGCACCATCGGCTCCTGTACCTGAAATGGTAATCCCCATAACGCGGGGTGAGATAATATAATTACCTCAGTAAGCTAGGGACCCTTGGAGGGCTCCTCCACCTCTAAGCTCACATATGATATAAACACAGTATAAAAATCTATGCATGCATCAGAATATGTATGACAATGCAGTGTGCAATAATGTAATCCTACTGGCCAAAGAATATAACAAGTATGCATTACGCAAGGAAACACCATCTTACAACATACCGTATGAGGAAACACCATCTCATACTATGCATAAGGAAACACCGTCTTATGCCTCACATAAGGAAATGTCGTCTTGTGTGGCACACAAACATACATACATATACATGCAACATATAACAGTTCGTTTTCAGCATAGCATATCAAACTACCATCCTCCCTCAGAGTCTGGTGAAACAAATGGGGGATCAACCCCAAGGACCGAAAGCTTACTTGTCAAGCACTGTCCTCCAATGCACTCCTTGTATCCAAAGGATCACAACCACAATTTCTCACAGTATCACAGCCTATTCCAAATATGTCAAGACAATCAGTACATATATACTAGCCTACCAGATTCAATTTTCAAGACTACATATACAAGACACTTACATATACAAGACACTTACAATTGATGTTTAGTCTAATTTATCAAAGTGTTCTAAACGGCCCTTTCATAGTTTTTTCTTTTACGGGAACCAATCCCAAGCATGTTTCACAAAGGGACTCACCTACAAATCACCCTCTAACTACTCATACCATTTAATTTTAGAAATTGACATATAGCCAAAAATCATGATTTTCTATAGTGAGCTAAGCGGTGATTTTTCATTTTTTCTTTCATTAAGAAGCAATCCTAAGCATATTTAACAAAGGAAGCTATATTCAAATCACTCTCTAACTATCCATACCATCTAACCTCCATTTATACAACCCTAAATTCATGCATTTTGTCCAAAATCACAAGAAGGAGTTGGGGTAATTACCTTGGGAGCCTCAAATCACTAAATAGAAGACAATCCAAGCTTCCAACAAGGTCATACCCCTTCCTCAAGCCTTAAATCCGAAAATGGCAGCCATAGGTCCTTCAAAATATGTTCCCCTCTCATTCAAATGTAGCTATCAAGTTGAAGGGATGAGGAAAAGGAAGGAGAACAAGATGGAGAGAAGGAATGAAAGTGATTTGTTTTGATTTCCTTAAGGGTTTGATTGAAATAAAATGGAAGAAAAAAAGGAACTTTCCTTCGTTTGAGATACAGAGAACGTCGCGGGAGAGAATGGAAATAATGAGAGAATTGTGTTCTTTTCCTTTTAAGTAAGTTTAAATAATCCAAGTGGGTATAAGTTTGTCTATCCCGTTCACTTAACTCTCATTCTAACTTTACACATTGGTTCACAATATTTTTATGGTAATATTTATCATTTTACTTTTTACTTTCAGGTAACTTTGCCTACCCACATTTTTACCCATTAACTGTCATTTTAACTCTTTTTTCACCAAAGGTGACTTTATTTTTTTTCTTCTACTTTCCTTATAATTATTCTTCAATATTATGATCAAAATCGTTAATTCATAATTAAATCCACAACTACATGTGAGGATTATTATACAAATCTGCCCTTACTTGCTTGATCAGACACTTTTCGAGCCTCATTTGATCAGATATGACATATTTGTTGTTGTTTGAGCTCTCTGAAGACTTTTGTGACTTCATTGGTAATTACTCACTTTTGTTTTCCTTGATCTTTTTTGTCTATGGGATATTGGTGCACTTATTGTAAGAGTGCTGGACACACAAGAGACATGTGTTTTCGTCTTCATGGGAAGTGTGATAATGCTACTCCATATGTGAATATTCGGCAAGGGGAGTTAGAGCAGCTTAAGGCCGCTATTGATACTCTATGTAAGCCGTCTGACAGTTCTTCGACCTTGTCTAGTAAGAACACTCGTTCTACATCTTTTCTTGCTTCTTGCACTGATTTTAAAAACTTACAGATTTTGGATTCTGGTGCAAATTGATCATATGACTTGTCTTGCTGAGTCTTTTCTTTCTTATCATCTTATTATTGGTAGTCACACTATAGCCGTAGCTGATGTATCCCAAAAATCAGTTATTGATTTGGGTTACATTCAAATTCAACCTTCCTTGTTTCTTAAAGGGGAGTTTGGTATGTGGGTAAATTTGAGATCCCAGAAAACTGACATTGAGAATCTTATTTACCCATGTTTGGTACAGGGGAGTGTAAAAATTTTATTGGGATTCTTGCTTTCCCGAGATTTTAAAATGTGAACAAAATTACCAATGAAAAGTACCACCTCACAGGTGGTATTTTGAAAATCCCACGGTGGGAAAACATTGACTAATTTTTCAGACAATAATGCCCCTGTTGTCTTCTCTGTTGCTCTCTTTATCTCTTCCTCTTACATTTTCCTTTTTTTTTCCTAGCAAGAATCTTATAGGATTTCCTTCACTTTCGCTGTTCCTCTCTTCCTTTCATTTCCTTTGATTTGCTTGAATCGAACAGGGTTTTTCTAAGGAATGCAAGTACACAATGTTTTGGACCATGTGCGGAAACTGTTTGACGAAATTCCTCAGCGAGACTTTATTTTGCAAAATGTTCTTATATGAGGCGTGACATGTTCCGAGGCTTTGCCCGTGTTTTTGTAAGTTTGATGGTTGAGCCTAATGAGTTTTGTGTTACTATCGGGCTTGTAGTGATCAAGTCGAGGCTCTTTCTCTGGGATTTCGTCAACCTCCGTTACACAGACACGCCAATTTTTTTGAAATTTACGTGTCGGACACGTGTCCGACTTTCCGACATTTGGGGACACGTGGTCAACTTTTCGACACGTTCCGACACGCGATCAATATTTGGGGACACACGGTCAACATTTGGGGACACGCTCGGACACGTTTTTTTTATTTTATTTTAATCTTAATTTTATTTTGTTAACTAAATATAAAAGAAATAATTTATAAATTAATTTTTTTCTGTTATAAAATTTGACATTAAAAATTAACAAACTACGAAAAATTATTTATATTTATATTTATGTTATGAAATTTAAATATTTAATTGGTTATATGACTTATTATGGACTCTTATATGTATTAAATATAAATCATATTATATATATTAAAAAATTTATTTAATATCAAAACGTGTCCCAACGTGTCCAAATATGACATTTTTTAGTATTAACGTGTCGGCGTGTCGTGTCGTGTCGTGTCTCGTGTCCCGTGTCCGTATCCGTGCATCATAGTCGTCAACTACCCCATCCTATGGATTTTCACTATTTCACAATGAAACGTTGGAAGGAGAGAAATTGAAGATGAACACTTTAGGTAGCATCCTTATATACATTTTTTATTTTAATTTTAAATTGCAAAAGTTTTGAATTATAAAGGGTAATTTTGTAAAATCCCCTCAATTTTCAGTAATATTTGTTAATCAACCAAACATAGACTAAGTAATCTTGAGCCAATATTCTCGATAATATTTTGTTCTACTAAACAATATTTTGGTAACATTATCAAAAAATTCACTTTCCACCATATTCTTGGAAATCATGATTCCCATGCACAAAAAAATTTAACCTCTACTAAACGTCCCTAAAAATGTTCTTTATGTTTCTTAGCTTTCCACTAACCTTATCTCCACTCATAAGCTTACA